AAATATGCATTGGACATGAATTAGCCATCTTGAATGGAGTATTGTCAAGAAGGCCAGTGATAATGCAGCTAATATATAATAGTAAAATAGTCATTATTTCTAGCTTGTAGATATAGGAGACATTTGTATCCTTTTGTTTCTCCTTGAAATGATCGATCTCGTTTAGTCTGGTTGAGAAGCTGTTGATTTGTCAAACACATATACGTTCAGCTTCTCGCCTTATTAAGTGGTCCTGAAAAATCACATCTTTCATGGGCTAACGACTGAAAATACACAAGATTGCTTGGTTATAGCCCTTTTATTTGTTTTCATCAGTATGGAATCTGATTCAGTCATACATGGTTGCGTAAGTGTCTATAGTAACGACGTGCCATAGCTATAAGTTTCCTTTAAGTAATTGTTTGCGGTTGGTACAAGTATACAGTGGATATAGCATTTGTGGGCTTAATTTTGGAATGATTTTTCATTTTTTTTTCTTGTAGTCCAGCTGAGTATTGATTCTCTTTTTTATTAACATGGTCATGATGACAGCTCTAAATTGATTCGAAAATAAAAAAGATTACCAATAACAATTAAAGATGTTATAATATGCCAACGACTATAAGAGAGAGATGCTGCTGTGCAGCTGTGGAGATCGATCTGAAAATGAATGTCCCATTCTAATTTGTTGCATCAAAAGACAAGAGGTCTTTCAATGACAGACGAAATCCTTCCATCTCATGTGGCTATAATAATTTTGTTAGTCAAAGATTCAGTTGCCTCGTTAGCATCTAAATTTTATTATTAATTCACCACAATTATTATTATTATGTTGTGTTCATCAATGTCGGAATAAAACAAATGCACTTTGTTATCAAGAAAATTGTGGATGTTAATGGATTAGCACTTGTGACTTTGGAATATGCTTAATTTGAGTAAAATAGTAAAAGTTTCTTCTTAAAGGGAACGAATCGGAAGTAGCTAGGTGAAAAATAATGAGTTTGAAACAATAAGATAAACTAGTCTGAATTTTGAATTAATTTATTAGTTCTTGAAATTTTCAGGGATCGAATCCAATAGTGAATATCTGTGGTAGGAATTATGTGCCTTTCAATGATGTTGACATCGTTTCTTTAATGCCAAGCACCCAAAATGGCTCAATCTATATTAAAAAAAATGCTCTGGTATGCCTATCTGCGAATTACGTACGATGAATTCTCAGATCGAATTGCTTTCCCAAGCCAAAGCAGTTGACTGTTGCGCAAGCTTAAAGAAGCAAAAACTCAATGAAATCAACGACTTGCAAATAATTATTATTTCGGGTTTTGTTTTGCCGTTTATGGTTTAATTTTCACTCTAATATTCTACCACATTGACATCATGCATACTCCATCAAAAATTTGCATCGCCATTGTTTTCACATTCGTCACTAGTGACGATGCCAACCATTATCCTTTATCTTGGTCAAATGCGTCCCAGTGTCGAAGTGGTACTTATTCATTCACAGATATTTCAGCAAGGTGGCTGTCCTTAAGAGTGTAGTCGAGGGTTCTTGTCCTCGATAATTGACGCTCCAACCACAGAAAAAGAGGGTCAACTGGTAACTCTATAGTCTAAATATGCACGTTCCAAAACAATAGAATCATCAGACAGCACTTCTCCTAGAATAAAGAAAACAAATGAATATTCAGAAATAGGATTATTTTTTTATATATAGTTTTTAGAAATTATATATACTAAAATATAATTTTTTTAAAAAATTATAGAAAAATAGAATTTAAAATCACCAATAACGATTTTAAGTGTAAGTACATAAATTCAAAGATAAAAGATAAAAAAATATTAGTTTTTGCTAAAACTGCATATTTTTGTTTTAGATAAATGCAAATTGTTTTCTGAACAAATAAATGGAATTGTACCCATATGTTTTTGAGAAATGAGGGGGAGGGGATATTATACATGTCCTCGAAATACAAAATAAGTACATTTCGAACTAGTTAATTTACCGGATTAAAACAAACATTTGAAAAATATAATATCTGATTTTTTTAGGGGATTAAGTACTCTTTTTTAAAAAATAAATTATTAACCATATTATATGACTTATAAATATGATATTTTTTACCTATAAATATCATTTACATTAAATAATTTTGTTTAAATTAAAAAATATATTTATAATATAAGGAGACTAACTCTCTTCCAACAGATTTATAAGTACATGTTCATAAAATAAAATAATTGTTGTTATATCAAAATATAAAATTTATTTAAGGTTTAACTTCTTGAATAATTAAATTTTTTTGAAAGGATATACTAATCCATCTCACACAGAAAGTGAGAAAACAAAACTAATTAAATAGTTGTGGTCTTGTGAAAAGGACTCTCGAATAGTACAAATAGTTGTTTTATGGATTTCCTGTAAAGCCGAGCAGTAATATTTTTTAAAAAAAATGTTAAATATAAAAAGATTATAAATTATAAATTTGATCTTTATAATTTTTTTAAAATAAAAAAACTTTGAAAAAACATGTTTCTCTTATTTTTCAGTCAATTTTTTTTGCTTGATTTGAACAACGTGAATTAATATTGTAAACCAAGTCTGTCATACTCTTTTTTTTTCATATCAATTCGTGCACAAAAAAAAAAACCGCAATTTTTTATTAAGAATATGTTCAAAATAATAATATATTGATAATATATTTTTAATCAATAATTTCAGAATATGTGTTAACATTTATTTTTCTTTTTACAGGTTTTTAATATAAATAAATTATCATTAGGTACTGAATCTGTTGGCTATCATTTTCATTGCTTTCATAAATGAAGCTTAATTAAGCCGCAATTAATAATTTTCTTTTTCTTTGAGTTGGAGAGAAGTGAATCTTCACTGAACATTTTCATTGTCCATGCTTTCTAGAAACACAAGAAACTTGTCACCTCTTATCTGAATCACTTTTATTTTTGTCACTTTCTAGCATTTTTAACGTGGTCCCTCCTTGGTTTTAAATAAGAAGTCAATTTCGGCGGCTACCCTCTTCCGTGAATCCCCTGCTTTCCATGCCCATCTCTTCACCTTATTACGATGAATTGAATCATAAATCCACAACTTCAAATTTAAAAAAGCTGTATTATCAATAGGATTTTCTTGGCCATGACTGTGAAATAAAAGTAATAGAACCCTCTATTGAGGATAAAATAATTAAAGATGTATTATCATTTTATGCAACATTATTTCCGTATTATCGTTATACATGTAAGTTGTCACGCGTAACATTGACATATTGGAAGGGGTACTTAAATAAAAATGAATAAGTGAGGGTATTAATGATTTAGATGATTAAAAGTTAGGCTGTATAAATCGAATTACGAGTCTGTTAGCAAAATATTCTCTATTTGCACTCACATTTTCTTATGTACATTATTACTGTCCTAAATAAATTTTTAACATTTCTTAAGCATTATATTTATTATATGACTTAAATATGTTTTAATTTTCTTTAAATAAAATTTATTTTAAACTACTATCTATTAAAAAATTTATTTTAATGCCTAATTATTTTTTTTCATATGTCACATCTAATGTCTCTTTCAACTTACTTTTAAGTCCCGAATTCACATTGTCATTTTATTTTTAAGATTCAAAATCTTTTAGTGTTTCAAAATTAGAATTTTATGTATTTTTATTTAAATTTAAATTTAAATATTTATAAATATAATTAATTTTAAATTATTAATTAGAACCTCATATTTTTACTTTATACACTCACCTTGATTTAAAAAAAAACAGTTCTAATTTTTAATAGTTATATAGACATTTATATAAAAATAGCATAATAATATGAAATATTTTTAAGAAAATAAAAACAATGAATATTTACCATGCTCATGAAAAAGTTTGGTCATACAATTATGTATAAATGATAAAAAAAAAAACTAAATATTAAACTCTAATAATATTATTGTTTTAAAAAGTCATGTACACTTATTTTAATATTAATTATTTAAATAAAAATAGTTAATTTTTTTTACTTTTCATAATAATCAAATATCTTTATTCAATCAATTATTTATGTATGATATAACATGGTTAACTTTAAACTAACAATGAATGAATGAAGTATCTTTATGCATTTTCTTCTTCAGAGATGTCAGGTCCACATTTTAATAAAAATTAATATATATATAGAGATATATAAATATTTTTATTTTAAAAATATAAAACAATAAGTATTTATTATAATTATAAAAAATCATATCACATAATTATATATAAGTAATTAAATATAAAAAATATTCAGTGGTTATATTACCATTTTAAAAAAATCATATATTTCAAAATTTAAAGTTACTTATTTAAACAAGATATGAATAATGTTATTACTTTTTCACAACAATCAAATTAATTAGTATTTTCTCTATCTGCATAAAATATTTTTGAAGTATTTGGAGGAGTCATGACTTTCTTTATCATTGAAAGGGTTTGCCGTTAAATATATAATAAATTTTTAATTAAAAATAATATGATTTAATATATTCATAATATTAAATATTTATGTTTTTAACAAATTTTAATGTTTATTTTGTTAGTTTGATGATTATATTAATTAGATTTATATTATGTTTGCTTTGCACAAGTTATAAAAAATTAGTTTACTCAAAGCCGGTTGCGTATTTAACTACTCCACAAGCGACATCCTATTTTGGGTGGTCATGATAAACTGTATCTGTTCGTGCTTCCATGATTGATATAAGCATAAATATCGAGTATAACTTTTTGTCATTGTTATTTATATTCTCAGTTTTTTTCGGACAAAAAAATTGTTACCTGATGTATGATAGAACTTGAACCAAACACATGGTTAGAACTTGAATTTAGGGTCTCATTTTAAAAAAATATCCATACTTGAAGGCATTTTAATGCACACATATTATTATTATATTTAAGAAATAAATTAAAAAGTGGAACTTTGATATATTAATGGCGGTGTTAATACTGATTTAGCAATGGGTGGACAAGGGATTTTTGTTTTTTGTTTGTTGTGTGACAGAGGGTGGTGGTGTTTCTTTATGCAATCGTTGTCCGGAGTCCAAGTCAATGGGTGTGTGCATGAACATAGGCTGCTTCCGGTTTTCTGAGTGGGTCTTCTTCCACACGGGAGAAAATAATTGGATCACTGCTCCACCCAAACAAAGCTCATAGATCCATTATGAAAACAAAACCAGTGAGTGCTTTAGGAAAAGTAGCACTACCAACCTATCAATAAGCACCCGGGTTAAAAAATTAAAAGAAAAAAAGACCGTTGTAACAGAAATACGAACATGAACAACCTTTTAAACCATTTAGACCCTTTACGGTGACCTCTCCAATGTTACTACTTAACGTAACGCTTTGGAGTTGAAATTGGAAGACCCAAATAAAAACTACCTCACTACCGTTTTCTTCTGCACTCTTCCAAGTCCAAACATGTTGCGACTCCTTTTTCTTCTCTTCCTCTCATTCTTCTCACTTCTCCCCACCGTCATATCTGACGACCGTCAAATTCTCCTGAAACTAAAATCATCCCTTCAGAACTCAAATTCCAAACTCTTTGACTCATGGAACGACACCAGTTCTGCGTGCAGTTTCGACGGCGTCGTTTGCAACTCCCTTCATTCCGTCACCGAAATCGACCTTTCCCATCGAACGCTATCCGGGGTTCTCCCTTTCGACTCTCTCTGCAACCTTTCATCGCTTCAGAAACTCGCGTTCGGTTTCAACAACTTGCACGGAAGAGTTGCAGAGGAGCTTAGGAACTGCGTTAAGTTGAAGTACTTGGACTTGGGCAACAACCGCTTCTCTGGTCCCTTCCCTGATATATCTCCTCTAAATCAATTGCAGTACCTATATTTGAACCAAAGTGGGTTTTCGGGAGCTTTTCCATGGCAGTCCCTGCTGAACATGACGCAAATGTTGCAGCTAAGTGTCGGAGATAACCCTTTCGATCTCACGCCGTTTCCTTCAGAGGTGGTGAGCCTCAAGAACTTGAATTGGCTCTATCTATCCAATTGCACTCTCGGTGGGAAACTACCGGTTGGGATTGGTAACCTCACGGAGCTTATCGATCTGGAATTCTCCAGCAATTTCATCACCGGCGATTTTCCCGCGGAAATCGGGAACCTTAGGAAACTGTGGCAGCTTGAGTTCTACGACAACTCCTTCACGGGAACGATTCCAATTGGGTTGAGAAACCTCACGGGGCTTAGCAATTTCGATGGGTCCTCGAACAAACTCGAAGGGGATTTGTCTGAGTTGAAGTACTTGAACAATCTGGTTTCGCTTCAACTTTTCGAGAACAATTTGTCTGGGGAGATTCCGGTTGAGTTAAGCGAGTTCAAACGCCTCAAGGCTCTGTCTCTGTACAGGAACAAATTGGTAGGTCCTATTCCTCAGAGAATTGGTTCTTGGGCCGACTTTGATTTCATCGACGTGTCGGAGAATTTCTTGACGGGTCCGATTCCGCCGGACATGTGCAAAATGGGCACGATGACCGCGCTGCTCGTGCTTCAGAACAACCTCACCGGCGAGATTCCGGCGAGTTATTGTAACTGTTTGACCCTGAAACGGTTCAGAGTAAGCAAAAACTCGCTCACCGGCACCGTCCCTCCGGCGATTTGGGGGTTGCCAAACGCGGAAATAATCGATATTGAAGTGAATGAGTTGGAAGGTTCGGTTACTTGGGATATCAAAAACGCGAAAAAACTCGCCAGTATATTAGCCAGGGGGAATCAATTATCCGGTGAATTACCTGAGGAAATCTCAAAAGCGACCTCGTTAGAGAGTATCGACCTGAGTGAGAATCAAATTACGGGGAACATTCCAGAAGCAATTGGCGAGCTTAAACAACTGGGTAGCCTTCATTTACAGTGCAACAAGTTAACCGGCTCCATACCGGAATCGTTAGGTTCCTGTAAATCGCTAAACGACATTGATATAGCAAAAAACTCACTCTCCGGAAAAATCCCATTGTCGTTTGGTTCTTTCCCCGCTCTGAATGCTCTTAACCTGTCAGAAAACGAACTCTCGGGTGAAATCCCGGGGAGCCTAGCGTTCCTCAGGTTGAGCCTCTTTGATTTATCGCATAACCGGTTAACCGGTCCGATTCCACAGGCTCTAACTATTCAAGCTTACAACGGAAGCCTCACCGGAAACCCCGGTTTGTGCAGCGTGGACGCCATTGGCACGTTCCCGCGTTGCTCTGCTTCCTCCGGCATGTCGAAGGACTTGCGTGCACTCATCATTTGCTTCGCGATAGCTTTGTTGTTGTTGCTCTCTTGCTTGGGAATTTACTTGCAGCTGAAGAAGAAGAAGAAGGACGAGGAGAAATACGGAAGAGGAGTGGGAGAGCGTTCGTTGAAGGAAGAATCTTGGGACGTGAAATCCTTCCACGTGTTAAGTTTCACGGAGGGGGAGATTCTAGATTCCATCAAGCAAGAGAATCTCATAGGAAAAGGAGGTTCAGGGAACGTGTACAGAGTCACGCTTTCCAACGGAAAAGAACTCGCGGTAAAGCATATATGGAACACCGATTTCACCACGGGAAAAAGGTCGTGGAGTGGAACTCCGATGCTTGCGAAGAGAAGTGGGAAATCGAAGGAGTTCGACGCGGAGGTGCAGGCTTTGAGCTCGGTGCGCCACGTGAATGTGGTGAAGCTTTATTGCAGCATAACGAGCGAGGATTCGAGTTTGTTGGTGTATGAGTATTTGCCCAATGGGAGCTTGTGGGATCGGCTTCACACGAGTAGGAAGATGGAGCTTGATTGGGAAACGAGGTATGAAATCGCGGTTGGCGCAGCCAAAGGGTTGGAGTATCTGCATCATGGGTGTGAGAGACCTGTAATTCATAGAGATGTTAAGTCTAGTAATATTTTGTTGGACGAGTTTTTGAAACCTAGGATCGCGGATTTCGGACTTGCTAAGATTGTTCAAGCCAACGTTGGCAAAGATTCTACTCACGTCATTGCCGGAACTCACGGTTATATTGCTCCTGGTTAGTTATTATTACTTATTACTGAAGTCTGTTTATGTATTTTTAATGTTATGTATGTTAATGTGTGTTGTTTGGAATGTTGCAGAATATGGGTACACGTACAGGGTGAATGAGAAGAGTGACGTGTACAGTTTTGGAGTGGTGTTGATGGAGTTGGTGACGGGTAAGAGGCCAATAGAACCAGAATTTGGAGAAAATAAGGATATTGTGAGTTGGGTGCATATCAAGGCACGGGGGAAAGAGGGGCTTAGGAGTGCGGTGGATTCGAGGATCCCAGAGATGTATAGAGAGGAAGCTTGCAAGGTATTGAGAACAGCGGTTCTGTGCACTGCAACTCTTCCAGCTTTAAGACCCACCATGAGAGCTGTGGTTCAAAAGCTTGAGGATGCTGAGCCTTGTAAATTGGTTGGAATTGTCATTAGCAAAGACGGTAGTGGAAAGAAGATAGGAGTCAACGATAAATAAAGCTCCTGCCCTAAAATTTTTGGATCATCGAAGGGAACCACCCAACTAGTTAGCTAGAATGTAAATTTTGATGGAAGAGGGAAAATATTGTAAAATATTAGCCATGGCTTCTTAAATCAGTATATTTTGAAATGGGAGACCAGAGTAGGAAAAAGGGTCTCAACCTCTTAATCCCAATAAAAATAAGAAGCAAATTCCTTTTTCCTTACTAATATATGAAACTGAGTAGTTTTTCAAACAATTGGTTTCCTCTGATGATCCCAGTGTATCATAAATGTTATAAGATGGTTGTGACTAATGCATATTCCTTCCGCTTTTCAAATTAGAATATCCTAAATCCAATGTGAACTCCATAATGCAAGCCGATTGTGAGATGTCATTAGGCGACATTCATAGAAAGAGTGAAGGAATTGACAACGCTAATTGAATGCTTGCTTTCCTACATAAACGAAAATGTCAGATAACAGATCCCTTTAACTCCAAATAGTAAGTTTATACTGAATGTTGTGAATTTCTTGTATTATTCCAAGTCATTGGTCGCCATCATCTGTACCTTTATGAGGTAAGAAAAGTTAAAGCTAAGTTCAGCTCATTTTGTATGTATTCATTCGCGGTCTACTAGGTGGATTTTGTTTGTGGCATTAATTAATTAATTGTATAGTGGCAATTTCTTTTTAAAAGATAACTTTAAAGAAAGAAAGAAGAAACACTACTGAAGGGTCAGATGCAATTAGATTTTGTTCACCGTGAACATAAATCAAGTTCTCGGTAAAATTAACTTTGACATAGTTTATCTAGTAGTAGACGAGTATGCATGCTTATATACATCACTGTTTAAGAAGGTGAAACCAGAACAATTTTTTACCATATATTTTATCATTGCCTAACGTGCCAAATTCACAACTTTAAAGTACCTCTCTTTGCTTATTTGTTTGGAGTTGATAAAATGCTCTATATCTTTTCCAAGAGTAATTTTTGTTAGATTTATTTTTTATAATTAGAAAGAAACATTTTATCTTATATTCTTTCGAGGTTTTCCAAGATAATCGTTAATTTTGACCACGAGGTTAACAAAATTCATTTGTATTTATTGAAAAGAAATTTTATAGTTTGACTAAAAAATAATAATAACACCCTCGTATTTAGCAGTTAAAATTAACTTTATCAAGGTTGATGCTGAACTTACATATATAAGCTATTAACGTTATTTGTGCGTGGATTCTTTCAGGAAAAATACAAATTAAAGAAGGAACCTTCACTTCTTTTCCTTTTATATTTAAATATGTATTTTACTTAAAATTAAAAAATACCTGGAATAAATAAATGCTCACGTAAAGTCACTACTAGCCACCGCCCAAGAAAGCAATTAGTAAAGACAAAAGAGATAGAGAGAGCGTTCACAAACGTCTCTCCACATGTAACACATTTTATCTTTTCGATAACATGTTGAACTTATTTTTCAAAAATGAATATTACGTCGGTATAAAAAGAGATAAACGCAAAAATAAAAAATAATTTCAATGTACGGTCAGTATAAAAAAATACTCTATCAACTAATTAGATTAATTTCTAGAAATATAAAATTTATTTATTTTTGCTAAAAAACGGGACTTCAAAATCCAAAACAAACAAACTAAAAAACAAATCTGAGCCAAGAAGAACCTAACAAATTAAGCCTAAGAAGAAAAAGAATGGAAGCAGAAGCTTCATCAAACAGATACTCCAAAAAGAAAAGGAAAGGAGGGAAGAAAGAAGGAAGAAGGAAGAAGGAAGAAGGAGGGAAGCAGGAAATATAATATTTATATTAATTATTAGATAATTGCGGTGTACTTAAGTTAAATTTATCATAAAATATGTAAGTCAACCATGTTTTTTCATCATAACGATATCGTACATCAAATTTTGTTGGGAGTTAAAATGTGTCATGGAGTGGCCCATTACAGAGAGCATGATAGATAACAGCAGCCCAAAAGGCTGATACGACCCAAAAGGTTGGCGACGACGGCATGTTTGTTTCTATTTAAAAAAACAATTTAAATAAAAATATACTTATTTTTTGTTTTAAAAAATAAAAATAAGCATGTTCTATTATTTATTACATCTTCCGTTATTACTTTTTATAACACTTATTTTTTTTTTCATTTTAATTTTTAAAAACAACCTTCTAAACTATCCATCTATTTTTAGTACCCTCAAAACTCATATTTTCACATCCTCATTATTAGTGTAATTTCGATCAAAACAATGAATAAAACCTATCTCTTCACCTTCCTTTTCAGTGCATTTTCTACTAAAATAATATTTTTGAGTCTCTTCATGGGATAATGATTGACCATAAAAGAGAAACCAATGGGGTTTCGAATTTAGGGCAACATTAAATACTTCATACTGACTGATTTCAAAGTAATTCCAGTAACGTTGTTTTATGGGAGTGGTAACGAAAGCCTACATAACAAGGGCAAACAAAAACGGTTGTTCAATAAATAAAAAAAACAAATAAATGTACTCAAAATCGCGTGCCTCAACCTAAATTGCTGTTGCCCAAAAATAAAATTTGAAGATAGCCAATATATCCAACGAAACATGTAGAACCTAGCAAAATCCGAAAGAGCACTTGATGAGTTTGGGTTTAAATCCTTTTATTTCAAAAGAGAAGAAAGGTATGTGCAACTAAAGAACTTCACAACACAAAAGTTCCAAATAACAATCGTAGGTCTAAGTCTACACTTAACAAGGGTATACAAGCTGAAAAACAGTTCATATAACTCACAATCTACTTTAGCTTATACTAAAAAGTTATGACATGTTTAATTATGAGTTAATTTTTTTTAGAAGTTCTGTCATAAGTTAAATATTAACTAATTTTTTTAAATGAAAATAAAAATATCATTATATGAAAGGTTGACGCTTCAGTTATGTTTTGATGTGAAGTAAAATAGAGAATAATAAATAAGACGATAAAAAATAGAATAAAAATTAGTTGATGTTTGAATGAGTTAAATAAGAGGGAATGAAAGGATAAAATTTTCTTCCACTTGTTTAGATGAGAAAAAAGAGTGTAAAAAGAATAATTAAGTTCATTGAAAATATTTCTAGAATTTTAAAATTGAGTTAAATAAATTTTTTATTGATAATTTTTTTATTTTTTATGTACAAATAACTGGCAAATCTTTATGGATATGGAAAGGGACGTTTAGGAGCAGAAGTCCGAGCCCATAGATGCATGTAATTGGACGAGAGTCAATAGCAAGCCCATTCTAAACCAAAACCAATACTCTTTTGGGTCTGTTTTGGGCCCCTTGTTTTCTTGGCCTTGGCCCTGAGAGAATTGATATACCATTAAACCAGCTTCAAACACAGTATATTACATCAAGATGTGTTAGGCAAATCAAGACCATTATGAGAGTAAATCTTCTTTCAAAACACACACACACAAATGATGTGTTAGGCAAGTTTGCTCCTCCAACCCATTATTTTCCTGTGAGATATTGTAACACTGTTCAAGATAGTATTATCAAATATATATTTTATTTATTCTAGGAAACAAAATTTTAAATTTAATTTAAAAAATACATTTTAAAAGCTAACAAAATCAAACACCCTTTAGTAATTATTGACCAAAATTAATGGACAGTTCCTAATTGATAAATAATGAAAATGAAAGATATCAAAATAATCTTTTACGTGCAAATAAGGAGGTTGAAGAACTATATTAACATTATTTAATATCCTTTAAAACTTTGAAAATATTTCAATTTATCATTTTTTTAATATTTAAAGATTATATTTTTATTTTTAAATCACCATAGAAATATCTCTTTTAAAAAGTAAATTGATATCACTTATCCTTTCAGATTCTATATTAATGTCAATATATTTTATTTTATTTTTGTAAATCAATGTCGAAGTTTACTATACTTTAATTATTAGCTTTACCCGTGAAATTCATGGATTAGGGAAAAGAGGTGGCATAAAAGCGCATAAATGTGTCAATCTTTCTTTTGGATTAGGATAAGGTGCACATTTTCTCAAAACCATGCCAATTCTGACTTTTTAGATTTGTATAAATTTTAAGAATCGTTGTATATTCTCTTATAGTTTTTTATTCAATTTTTTTATCTTAATTTTTAAAATTAAATTTAAATATAAAAAAATAATAAAATTTAATTAAACAATAATGTATTTATTATATAAAAACACCTTTTAATCAAATTAATATTACAAATTACTTAAATTCAATTTTAAGAATTAAGATTAATATTATTTTTATTAGACTTTTTAATGTGTGTCGATAAAAATATATATTTTTACATTATTAATTAATTAAATAATATTTTAAGTACAAATTTTAAAATAATTATCATAAAATCTCGCAATTTTAATAATATAATAATTAAGTCCTAGTTAACGGTAATAAGAGCTTTTGTATTGTCAGTATATTTTTAACTAAATTTAGACACACATAGTTTCTTATCAACAACTTTAACGATAAATGTCTAGCATTTATAACATACTAAACAAATCAATAATTATAAAGCCCTATTATCCCAATACTTAAATGTGAGTAATAAAGATATAAAATATTTCCACTATTACTTCGTGAAAATCTCATAAATTAAGCTTAATTAGAAAGTAAAAAAAGAAAAATATTGGCTAATTTGGTTGGTAAAAACGATAAAGTTGTTTGCGTAGGAATCTTTTATTGAATGATTTAAAAGTGAACTAGTTTGCTAGATGTTATTATATTTTCAAAAATTATAACAACTAATAAAGGATTAAAAATGTAATTAGCAAAGGACAAGTTTGATTATCTGAAACCAAAAGCATGTCACATTTTTTTTTCCAAAATGAGATTGGGATTTCAGGGTATATCTTCAGCACGGCAACATCAAGATCAATACATTTTCTTTTGTAAACTAGTGCAAACGAGTGTACTTGTTAAGAATTCAAAAATAAAAATATAAAATTAGAGTATTTTTTAAATTATATACATGATTTTTAATAAGTTTATTTTATGCTTCTTGAACTCTTGACAAATTTTTTACACTAGTTGACAAGATTATTTGCTTCATCATGGTTGATGATTAACATAATAAGATTGGAGATATTAAATATAACTTTTTTAAATCAAAATATTAAAAAAAATTTAACCTGCAATTTTGAATTTGAATTCTAATAAAATAAATATTTAACATATTTAGCTCTATTTACCTTAGAGAAAAAGAAACAAATAATTAAATATCCCAATTAGCAAATAAAGAAACAAAAGTCTCAAAGAAGAAGGCATGGATAAATTTAGAAGCCACATTTTTTTCCCATTTAACAAAAATCATGAGTTTGTAGGGTTTTTCTTAGTTTTTCTTTACGTCAAAATTTAAATAGAGAAATAAAAATTATTCCACTCTAAAGCTAAACACGATAATCGAACCTAAAACTTATTCTGTCAACTCTATTCAATCTTATCTATTGAACTAACTTTCAGTGGTCATTTTTAAAAAAACTTAAAACCTCTTATAAATTCCACATTAAATGACAGCAATATGTATTTACAAAAGTTCAGTATGGGAATATTAATGCACATTTAATCAAATCTATTCCAAAACTTCACAGACCATTCATGCATGATAGGGAGAAAACAGTTTTGCATTCTACAATCTGTGCGTAATTAATGTCACGTTTTATTCATTTAATTATCAGTCTTTTTTCCCCTAATATTGAAGATAAGCACATTTCCTTCAATTACTGCATATTTAATCAAAACTTATCCAGACTGTGATCCTGTGTGAAAGGAAATAATTTGACAAGACATTACGACGACAAAGGATAGAAACCTAAGCCATAGAGCATGTATTCCATCACTGTTATTTCCACGTTTGTTTGAGAAAATAATTTTTTTAAGCCAGATGCTATCACTAGTATATATTCATGAATCAACACACCCACACAAACATATATATTAAGATATGCACTCAAACATACAACATATTGGAATTATCTGACAGAGATTACCATTATAGTTTTGTTTTAAAAATTATTCTGTGAAACATAAACATGATTACAAGTAGACTATGCCCATCACAAAATTTATTCTATCCAATGCAAATAAAGTATATTGCCAATAACCTGCAGGTACACTAACTGACTTCCCAAAGTTTATATGTACTCTTACACCATAGAAATCATACAAAGTAAAAATAGGACATTTGTTTGGGAATATTATGCCATAATGCGTTGGGACGCGGCCTTTCGCAGCATGAAATTAAAGCTTATGTGATGAGAATGTGTATGGTGTGGCCATTATTAACATTTTGGAATATAAAATCTTTGAAATGTTTAAGACATTCTGCAGTGTAATAGAACGAATATTGATAGAGCAGAATTATCCATCCACAATGGCTGTCTATTCGTCACAAAAGTATAATCATTTTTTTTATTTCTTTTAAGAGAAAAATGAAATTTCGCACCTCCAAAAGAAATTGTGGGTCCTTGCTGCAAGTGCAAAGCAAGATTAAAGCAATTCATAAGGAATTGACATGTCAGCAATTTAGCAAATAACCCTCTTTGCCAAATCAACGCACTCAACTTTTTGAGAGTGGGCATCTTTGCTTGCTAGTTGCTTTGCACTTCCATCATTGAGCACTCATCATACAGAGATTCCCACTCGAGCTATTTGGGCTCGTCAACCCCTTTTGGGCTTTCACCAAGGGCCCACTATATTTTCAATTTCTTGATTGTAAGCACCTTATTCCCATGGTGTTATTTGGTAACCCTAACAAAATAAAAACAAAAACTTGTTAGGTAACAATCCCAATTCATACTAAGAAAAAGTTGCCCTAAAAGAGATTTTCAGTAAAAAGCCAAAAGTCATGCAAATAAAAAAGAAACAGTCCATCCAACGACTGTGCATGTTTGTTTGCTAGTCCATCGGCTCAAAAAGTTCAAGTCCTTTTTTATTTTTGAGCTAGAATTTCCATTTCAAATTAATGTTTTGTTCTATCTTGAAAGCTTTTGAATTCATTTTGATAATATCGTGGCATAACAATTTATTGGTGTAGTTTTAATAGTGAATGTGAGAGCATAATAATAATTTAAGAACTAAAAAGATGAGTTATTATTAACAAAGTTTTAACTAAATGACCAAATAATAAAATTAAAAAGTACATCTGGCGATGTGATGCAACAAGGATCTAATTCTACACATGACACGAAGTCCCTGACTATATAACCCACTAAGGCCACAACTCTATTGATTCAAAAAAATTATTCACATACTTTTAAGCAGAAAAATACAGGACAAACGGTAAAAGGGACAAGAAAAGAAGACCTTATCTTAGCACCTTTAGTTCTCCACTTGGTCTGTGATAAAAACAAAACACAAAATCTTTCTCTGATTTTAACCAGAATGGTCCTAAAGAACGGATTTGGCGGCTGAGTTCATCTTTATCCTTACAGCAGAGATTGTAACAACCCTTGTTTGTTCTTATTCTTTTTCACAAAACACATTAGGATATATAGCATTTGCTTTACCAAGTATAGTCTATATAGACTTATATAATAGACTTAATATGAGGGGAAAAAGAGGGAAAGGAAATATCATAAACAAATGAGAATGCACTTAGCACGTACACTTAATGAGGCATGGTCCCCTTCTTCTCTATCTTTTATTGAGTATAGAATATAGTCCCCACCCTTTTGATGTAAACTGTTCTAACAAAATCCAACCTATCAGAATTATATTTCTTGGCGAGTAAAATTCGAAAAAAACAAAGGAATTTTTCAACAAAAGATAAAATAGAAACATGAGAGAATCAGAGAAATTGATTTACGTGCTACTCTTTTCTCTGTCATTTTTTTTTTCGAGCTGTACTCTGTTTAATACGTGATTTCAAGAAACCCGTATTTGCTATAAAACATCTCATTTCTTATGCAATACCAATTTAATATGTGAGAATGGAATCTAATGTCACAAAAAATCTAAGTTATTTATTGAGAATATTTAATGTATAGAAAGTAAGTGGAATTTACTGTGCGAATTAGATATTGAAGGATGAAAGAAATAGGTGGAATTACTGTGATGCCCAATAACTACTACTTTTCTTTTACCAAACAATTCGTTTCTCTATATTTTTCTCCTTTGGTTTTCCTAAGGGGTGACTCAGAAATTTTAATTGAAGTTAAGCATACTTTTCTAAATTTAATTAAAATTTAACTCATTTAATTACATCTAGCCGTTTTATCTATATTAGTAATTATCACCTTCTTGTTTTGTTATTACTCCCTTTAATTTTGTGCTACTGCTAATGCGTGATTTGCAGTCATATTCATTGATGTTTATGTTAGATATTAGAGCACTTTTCATATTTTATGTATCACTATCAAAGAAACGGTGACTCATTAAATTTTCGGCAAATCCAAAAATAAGATTAAAAAAAATGTTAAGTAAGCAAGTTTTCATAAATCACCCGAGTAGATTCCCATATCACAGCGTTGAATGGTGAGGTTTCAGTCTCACTAATTTTTTTTTTTTCTCCATAAAACTTATCATCTCTCAAAGGGTATGATTAAAAGTTAAATTTTGAAGGAAAAATAAAAAAAAGGTTTTTTTTTTTAATATTCATTAATTTTATATTTTTCAAAATAAAAATTAATATGAAAAATCTTCTATTTATTTTTATAAATATTATATAATTTTTTTAATTAAAATGTAAAAATTATGATAATAATGTAATAAAAATCATAGTAAGAGTATATCGACAATATTTTTTTCATATTTTTTTTCTTTTTATTCTTTAACTAGTGCAAATAAAAAAATTTATTAGCATTTTAAAAAAATGTTTTTTTTTTCTTTTCTATTAGTTGTTTAAAATTAAGAGATATATTGAACAAATGTTTCTATTGTTATTCTTATTTAACTTTTTTAATCTAAAATAATTTTACTATATATTAACGTAGTTATCAGAAAAAAAAAGCCATTTTAAACAAAAATCACTTGCATAAAAATAAAAAACACACCCATATTGATTGAGTTACACCATGCTACGTGTTTATGAGCATCTTTAAAGAAGTTAGAATTACAGTATACTGATAAGGTACAAATTGAACAAACTTATTCAACCAAAGGTTTTATTTGTGGCTGCGACCCAAACTAAGTTACCCTTATCTTGAGCCAATGCGCATGGAGGGCTCGACTCTTGAATGTTAATTAGATGTCATCTCGTGATTTTTAGACAATCGGTGTATAATAAGAGTGATCGACTCAATTACTTACTCACACCTATATAAAATTACGGCTCTAATTAAGGACATTGTTTTCATCTGTTGTCATTTCATTAGAGTCCCTGTCGACATGAATATGATCATTTGAGGTAGAAAAACATCGACACCAACAAGAATGAGATTTTCTCAACATATTGAATGTTTTCAACATATGTAAAATTAATGTCGACAGCAATAAGAATGACATTTTCTCATCATATTGAATGTTTTGAATTTGTTGAAAGCAAATATAAAAATAAAAAAATGGTTGAGGAGCACTGAAGGTGCATTTGTTCGTGTATATCTTTCCTTGCATTATCTAAGTCGGATACATCTTTGTAATTGGCTAGGATTGGAATCCATGAGAAAGAGATGGATCACACCACCTGGGAAAAGAAAAGAAAATATTTTTTTTCCCAAAGAAATCATAATCATATATATCCACAGCTTCTGCTCAGTTAAACATGCGGTGATTAGGATCAGATGCAATTTACAAGTTCCACACGCTGTAGAGTATAACCATAATGTCAATAACAAGCATAACGTATACATACAGATTTATTTAAAACGTGATTTACTTGTGAAATGATTAAATTAGTAAATTTTTTATGAAAAATAAAAACGAATTTAATGATTTATGTTAAGAGGGAGTGTTGATGTCTAAGTAAAAAGTATACATGCATTGAAGTTATTCTTTACATGAGGTAGTGGTAGTGGAGTATAAACGTAAAGCCTCTTTACCAAAGATGTTCACTTCTCCCAGTAGTACTGCAGCAAGAACCTGCTTTTTCATCATCAAGGCTTGTCACTGCTTCCTCAAGTGATCCACTCAACCATTCCATTTCCATCTTATATACCTCTCTCGCACCCATCTCCTTAGTTGCAACGTCTACACTAACCACAAACATAACCAACCTCCTTCTCTTTTCCTTCTCAAAATGAACCACCCATTCATCACCCTCTTAGTTATTGGACTCATCGTTTCCATACCCAGTAGTACTAGTAGTAGTAGTAGTACTAATTACAGTAACAACCAGTCACAGTTTTTTTCTCTGATGAAAGTCTCTCTCTCAGGAAAACACCCTCTAAATTGGGATGTTGAGAAACCTGTCTGCAGCTTCACAGGAGTTACCTGCAACACTGAGGGTGACGTCATCAATCTTGACCTTTCAGGTTGGTCTTCACTTTCTGGAAAGTTCCCTTCAGATATATGCACTTATCTCCCAGAGTTGCGTGTTCTACGCCTTGGCCACAACAGGTTCAAGTTCCTCACAGACACAATTCTCAACTGTTCCCACTTGGAAGTGCTTGACATGAACCGCATGTACCAAACTGGCACACTCCCAGATTTCTCTTCTTTGAAATCTCTTAAGATTCTCGACTTGTCCTACAACCTCTTCACAGGTGAGTTTCCCATGTCAGTGTTCAACCTCACCAATCTTGAAGTTCTTAACTTCAATGAAAACGGAGGCTTCAACCTGTGGCAGTTACCAACAGATATTGACAGGCTGAGAAATCTTAAGTCTATGGTGTTAACAACGTGCATGGTGCATGGTCAAATTCCAGCATCAATAGGGAACATAACTACTCTTGTTGATCTTGAACTGAGTGGGAATTTCCTCACAGGCCAAATTCCAAAAGAGCTTGGACTATTGAAGAAGTTGGAACAGCTTGAGCTCTACTATAATCAACACCTTGTTGGTAACATACCTGAGGAGCTAGGGAATCTCACAGAGCTAACGGATTTGGATATGTCAGTGAACAAGCTAAGTGGGAGTATTCCTGCATCTGTGTGTAGGCTTCCCAGGCTTCAAGTGTTGCAGCTTTACAACAATAGTCTCACAGGAGAAATCCCAGGTGCGATTGAAAACTCAACAACCTTAAAAATGTTGTCTCTTTATGACAACTTCCTGAGAGGACAAGTTCCCAAGAAACTGGGACAGCACTCGGGAATGATAGTTCTTGATTTGTCAGAAAACAGTTTATCTGGTCCGTTGCCAACTGAGGTTTGCAAGGGAGGTAAACTACTCTACTTTCTTGTTTTGGATAACATGTTTTCTGGTGAGATACCTGAGAGTTATGCAAACTGCATGGCGCTGTTGAGGTTTAGAGTGAGTAATAACCGTTTGGAAGGTTCCATTCCTGAGGGACTTCTTGGTCTACCTCATGTTTCAATTATTGATTTGAGTAACAATAATTTGACTGGTCCAATTCCTGACATTAATGGAAATTCTAAAAACTTGTCTGAACTGTTTCTGCAAAGGAACAGAATTTCAGGTGTCATAACTCCCACAATCTCTCTAGCTATTAACCTTGTCAAGATTGATTTCAGCTATAACCTTTTGTCTGGTCCAATTCCTTCAGAAATTGGCAACCTTAGAAGGCTTAATTTGCTTATGTTGCAAGGGAACAAATTGAGTTCTTCCATACCCGGTTCACTCTCTTCATTGGAGTCTCTCAACCTTCTTGATCTATCCAACAACCTTTTAACTGGGAGCATCCCTGAAAGCCTCTCTGTGTTGCTACCCAATTCCATTAACTTCTCACATAACTTGCTTTCGGGTCCAATTCCTCCCAAATTGATCAAAGGAGGTTTGGTTGAAAGCTTTTCAGGGAATCCTGGTTTGTGTGTGTTACCTGTGTATGCTAATTCATCGGATCAAAACTTTCCCATATGTTCAAGTGCTTACAAGAGTAGAAGGATAAACACCATCTGGGTAGCTGGGGTATCAGTGGTTTTGATCTTTATTGGAGCTGCCTTGTTTCTCAAACGTAGGTGCAGCAACGAGAGAAGTGCAGTGAAACATGAGGATACACTGTCTTCATACTTCTCTTATGAAGTTAAGAGTTTTCACAAGATCACTTTTGACCAAAGGGAGATCATAGAGTCCTTGGTGGATAAGAACATAATGGGGCATGGAGGGTCAGGGACAGTGTACAAGATTGAGTTGAAAAGTGGGGATATTGTTGCAGTGAAGAGATTGTGGAGTCGAAAATCCAAGGATTCAGCTCTAGAGGATCGATTGTTTGTGGACAAAGCATTGAAAGCCGAGGTGGAAACTCTGGGCAGCATAAGACACAAGAACATAGTGAAACTTTATTGCTGCTTTTCCAGCTTGGATTGCAGCTTGTTGGTTTATGAGTACATGCCAAATGGCAATCTTTGGGATTCCCTTCACGAAGGTTGGATCATTTTGGATTGGCCTACTCGTTATAGAATTGCACTGGGGATTGCACAGGGTCTAGCATACCTCCACCATGATTTGGTTCTTCCTATTATCCACCGAGACATCAAGTCAACTAATATCTTGTTAGATGTTGATTACCAGCCCAAGGTAGCAGACTTCGGGATTGCCAAGGTTTTGCAAGCAAGAGGTGGCAAGGATTCAACAACAACTGTTATTGCCGGAACATATGGTTACTTAGCCCCAGGTAGTTTCTCTTACCAAAGTCAAATATGATCATCATTCAAATATAAAGAAAAAATTCATTTTATAGCAAACTATCATGATATGTTTCCTGAAAACGATAAATTTTTCTCAAGCATGCGTTTATTTGTCTCTATTCTATCTACAGCATTCAGGTTTTTTTTTTTTTTAAAGCTAAAGTGCTGCTTGGATATTCTCATTGTAATGATTACTGAATAATGACTTTTTACCAAGTAAATAATTGAGGTGCACCGTGCACCATATTAATATTAAATTTATTAGTATTTTGTACTAACAAAACACTAGTAGTACTTGGGAGCATGTGGTAACTTCTCTATCATGTGTTTTGTGAATATTTATTTCCATTGGTTTTGATGGCTATGACAGAACATGCATATTCATCAAGGGCCACCACCAAGTGTGATGTCTACAGTTTTGGGGTGATTTTGATGGAACTGTTAACTGGGAAGAAGCCAGTGGAGGCAGGATTTGGAGAGAACAGAAATATTGTTTTCTGGGTCTCAAACAAAGTAGAAGGCAAGGAAGGTGCTAGACCAACTGAGGTATTTGACTCCAGACTATGTTGTTCATTCAAAGATGACATGATCAAAGTGTTGCGGATTGCCATTCGCTGCACCTACAAAGCCCCTTCATGTAGACCAACCATGAAAGAGGTGGTTCAGCTTCTTATTGAGGCAGAGCCACGCAATTCCGATTCTTACAAGTTGTCAACCAAAGACATATCAAATCTCACCGTAACAAAGAAACCATTTGAATCATAATTTGAGTAGCTTAAAGGAGTAAGACTAAGGAAGAGCATATCGACACCTAAGATAAACAGTCTATCTCGATGTAATTGAGATGACTTATTGTAGAGTACAGAACAAATTACTATGATCTTTTTTATTTTTTTCTAGACAACTAGTTTTGTACTTTGTAGATTCTATCTTTGACTATAGTTTTTTTTTTCTCTCTCTTTTACTGTTTCGAATTTTGACTTTTGTAAAAATTTGAAATCATAATGCTGTATCCAAGCTTTACGGTAATGTACAACAGTATCCATATTTTATAGGCCCACACTTGCCAACTTGCTTTGTGGAATTTTGGTTCTTTCCTCTTCTATCAACGCTTTTATTTTGAGCGATGCAAGATGGCTCCAATAAAAGGAGCATATGTTGTGAGGACTGGAAGGTTGTGATTCACACAGAGTTCCCTTTTAATATTATTAAAAGAAAAATACAAAATGGGTTCCAGATTCTGAATACTATATTATGGCATTATTTGTGTGTGGAGGGAGGGGCCCTTTAACAAAGCTCTCTCCACTGGAAGGGAAAAAAAAGATGAATGGAATGATTGATTGATGAGAGCATCTTGTCTCCATTTTAGTGAGGGAAAGAGAAGAAAGCAGCAGCATTTAAGCTTTTCCTTTTTCCTCTTGCTTCCTTTTTTCTAGTAGAGATTATTGTTTTGATAGAATGAGGCCTAAGGGAATGGAGAGAGAGGCATCAATCATGTTTAACCGTAGGTAGTGAGCCATGAACCTCCCACTCACAACTTGAATGCCCTTTAATTTATTAAAAAGGAATTTTATTTTTTGAAGTGTCACATTAGACTGAAATTGAACCAATCTCCTAATTAAAGCTCAAGCAATAGCATACTAGGGAACAAATAAGAGAAAAACTCATTCAAAATCACCACAATATTTCGAGGATACATATTGATACAACAACATCAAAGTGTAAGAGTAACTGAATGAAGGCTACAAGAAACATTGGTTTTGTGTGAAGATCAGGAAGAAATGAATAAGGAAGTAACTATATAATGAAACCTTATGTCATGCTCTAAAGGCAAATTATTAGGAGCACAAAGCATAAAATCATTGGCACATGGTTGTTACCTTGTATGCAAAAATGCATGCATAGTCAGTCACACGTGTGTGTACAAACACTAGAACTACATCACAGTTTCTGTACATTCATGTGCTTTATGAGTGGATGGCGGGGTCACCCTAGAAGAATGAGATTCACGAACGCAAAAATTCTTTAGGCTTGGTGGAGAACCCATAAAGCAAAAAAGTTAGAAGGTTCGATAAGAAGAATAGTTTTCTTAAACAAAAAGACACAGGGCATCAACTTCCAAAGCATGCTTGGCTGTGAGAAGAAGCTAATTTTAGGACAGGTATGTTCTTATTAAGTACAATAGGAACCAAAGAAGTTCAGATCAGACACAAAGATACCCTGCAGCAGATTTAATAATCACTGCATATTCTATTGATTTATGGACAATAACCAATCACAAAAGTCAGAAGTATATATATATATATCTTCTCTTGTGTATCGTCTCATCAATATACCCAAAAGGCTGGAAATTGGAATACATGACTTTCACTGAATTAAACAGTCACTCCAATCAGAAGTAATTGATATGTTTGTTTGAAGAACATACCTGTTCGTACAAGAAGGAATTGTTAATATGAATTTAAACTCAAATTATTTGATTGTAAAATGACTAATTCGTGATAAATCAGCAATTGTACATTACCAGACAAACCAAAATGATGCACTAAAAGGACAATAATTGTCAACCCGACCAGTAACACACAAAAATATTACGCGCATGACTTTATCTGTTGATATAATGAATGTATCCCACCAGGGCCAGCAATCCAAGTTAGTAAGAAAAATCTAATATAGCTTAGCAGAAAATAATTTCAAGTTCCAATAGATGGTTTTTTCAATGTGACATTGTTGACATAAATGGGAACATTGTCAATCTTAGGCACTAGAGAAATTGAAGATGCCAAGTGTGTGCTCATGCTTCACCTCTTATCTTAAAGGAAAAACAGAATTAGTGGCGCACCCACGTCGAGAGAGTTTAAAATGGGTCTCCAATAATTTCCCTCTATCTTTTTGTCCCAGTTCCAAGTCTCACACCAAAAATGTAATGTTCACAGCTATTCTTTTTTAGTGGAACAGTTTCTGTCACTTGTTAGGGATTGTCCTGTCCCGTGCTACAAAAGTTCAATGCCTCTAAGGCACTATTGATGATTATTTGATCTCTTCTACCAGGAAAATTCATGCATAAAATATTTGTTTTATTAGGATTTAATTCTTCTAAAATTAGAAAATGTATAGAATAAAAAATAAATAATATTTACCATCAATTTAAATAGTGTACCCTGTGAGCATTGAGGTGGGTATCCTATTTTATAATTCTGTTTCTGTGAACTATGAACAAATCCCAAACATTTTTCACTAATCTTTGGGCCTACCAATTAGACACCATAGCCCAACCTTCTTCTGTAGGTTTTAGGCCCATAAGTATTTATTTAGCTAAAAGAATATCGATACAGTTATTTAGGTGTATTATTTAAATAAATTTTTGAAAAATTATAAAATCTATCATGAATAAAAATCAACTTCGATAGTCCATTAATTAACATGCATTGATTAAAAAGATGAAATGGTTACAAGTCATTATTTGGTAATAAAATTTCTCATATTAAATTTTCACACGGTTTTGTCATGTAAATTTTTTGTATTAATTTTTTTTATAAGCATTAAATATGGTTTTATCAAGGTTTATAGATGTTTCTTACTTAACTCAGCGCATAAATTATTTGATAGATAATATAGTTATGTTAAATTTGATAATGAATATTTTATCGTCCTTAGTAATTTTGCCAGAATTAAGTTCAAATAGGGTGCATAAAAATTTGAAAAGGAGAAAAAAAAATAAAATATATATATATATGAAGAATAATTTTATTAAAAAACATATCAAATTTTAATGTAAAAAAATCCTTTGCCCCCATAAGGGTGGCACAATAGCCAGCATCTTATCTTCAGAATCCCTTTCAAATATTCTCACTCTCTTTCCCTCTAATTCTCTCAACCACCATAGTATATAGGTCAGGAAATCAAATGGAAGCAAGATATTGATTCGCAAATTAATTGCTTTGTATTTATCTCCATTTATTAAATAAAATTGTTTTTCAGAATTGTTTATTTTTATTTCATTTCAAACTTTCTAAATTCGAACATTTATGCTCTATTTCTAATCTGCTTTTCTAAAATTTAATTCAATTTTAGAATCTCGTACAATGTAAAACATATTTTTTACAGCATGTTAATTTCAAAAACTATTTTGAGCATCACCAGGAGAACATGCTCTGAAGAAAACTTTACTTGATTTATATTTATGGCTTTTGCTATAAAAATGCACCATGGTCATTAAATGCATTTTTTTTCAAACATAGCCAAACCGTACTAGCCTAAACTACAAATGAGTTAATAAGAAAAGATGGAAAATATTATAAATTTGGAAAATTAGACGAAACTAAAAATTAGACGTTTATAACGTACCCTAGTTATGATATCAGAGTATGTGGGGTAATTTATATTTATTAACCTTTGTTTTTTTGCGCGTGTATATAATAGTTTTAAATTATTAGTGATGTATTCTGTTCTGTTTTTTATTAAAAATAATTTGTTTATATAAATTAATTGTAAATCATAACTTTGTATTATACTTATAAATATTTATAATATTAAATAGTTAAATATACAAGTATATTAAGTATGTGAGTATATTTAATTACATGAATAATAAGTAGTCTTATAATAAGTAAGAATATATAACTATTAATAATTAATATATGGAAAAATATTTTATAATTAAAATAAAAAATGTTAATAGTTATTTTAATAAAATTTTTGAAAAAAAATGGTTTTTCACATGCAAATATTAATATCACTTTTTAAAATAAATTTATTAACAATGATGGCTGATATAAATGTGATGTTTCAACTGTGATTTGTCACGGTGAAGCAGTATATTCATAAATATATAAAATGATAAAATCAAATTAAAATTTGACTTAAAGATGTAATCAGGGGTATAAATTATTTAAACTACTCATAAATTATTTGAGTTTAATTTGTCAAATGTTTAACTAAATTTGCTTATTTAATTAAATAAATGAACTCAAACTATTGTTAATAAAAAAAATATAAGTTTAAATTTGATTTATTTAAATAAATTACCCAAACTATTAAATTTTACATTAACTCAACTCATTTATGCCTGTAGATACGATATTGAATTCGTGAAAATCTACCCAAGAGAAATAAATATAATTCGCCAATTTTCATATCTACAAGGAATAAAATCCATTTGCAAAAATAAAAATAAAAATAAACAAATAAATAAATCTGAGTTTTTTTTATTTGTGAGGCATTTGTTCCATGTTATGAGAAATTAAAGCAAGATTAAACATTTGTTAAACTGAAAAATGGTGCTTGCATAATCTGACAAGGAAAAAACTAGAATGGGAGAACTAGTTCATGAATTAAATGCCGTTTTTCCTGGACAGCATCATTGATAGCATTATTTAAGCCACTGTACAACACACCATTTTTCATGTTCCATCTTTTCACTTTTGGTCCACCAACACCCACACATATATACCAAGCCAAATGTTACCGACACTATTTTTATGTCTACTTCTTTTTAATATATTTTTATTAAATAATTGGACACACTTTTCGTTTAGGAGTATGCATAAATTTTTTTACTTAATAATATGTTGTATGTTAAAATATATTGCTAACATTCTAATAATAATAATAAGACCCACGTTATTTTAATTAGTGTTCTTATATTTAGTAGATAAATGAATAATAAAATATTAATACGTGGGATTGTAAGAGCCGTTTTCACACAAGATTGAAGTTGGGATCAATTTAAAATTTAGACTAAAATTATGGAGACACGTTTGTACATATAATATACACACATACTATAAAAACAAGACAAAATGTTATTATTGTGGACAAATGCTCTTGAGAACAACGTGGATCCATCCATTGCACAATGATATTTTAAAGTACATTTTGATTAGTTTGAATTTTTTGAGATAAATAAATATTTTTATATAATATTTACGTATAAACTATTATTATTATTTAACTACTTACTATAGTTCATTATCTTACAAGATATGCAATAAGATTCCTTTTATGTTAGTTTAAAATTTAATTCATTTATTCAAGATTTTTTAAAGATATCAGTAGCCTATTGGACTTTATATCAAATTTTGCTAAACTCTCGCGCTCTAAGGCCTAGGCCCAATTTAAGTAAATTTATAGAATTTTTTATAAAATAAATAAATTTTATGTTATAAGTTTAAAATAATTTATCTTTCATTGTATTTATTTTTTAATATTAATTATTATTTATAAAAACAAATTCTACAAATTTATCCAAATTGGCCAAAGTCATGTCTGTTTATATATCCACCGTTTTATACCCATTCTTGTAGTTATCCATCACACGTATCCCCTTGATGACCCAAAACCTTCTGCAGATCTGCCATGTCGGCTTATGCCACGGGAGCTTGTTATGGTGACTGTATCACCCACTTTAATATCTATATAATTACCCAACCCAACCAACGTTGTCAATGTAATATATTTCTTAGATACGAATTTGTGGTGTGAAGTAGATGTTAAATTCTATTTTTGAAGGAACTAATTTAAACAAAAATTTAAAATAAATGACTAAATAAATTTCATGCAAAAAGTTTATTAAACTAATTACAAAGTCGTGAATCTTGTATCTCTTATCTGATACTGTGTGAATACTTATGCTCACAAAAATATGTGAGCAGTTATCTTGTGTCTTAATTTATAATCATTAGATAGATAAAAATCTTAACTATTTTGAATAATTTTGATGGATATTCATTGAATTCACGTTAAGTTACAAATTTTACAAAAACATTATCACGAATGCCACATGCCAATAATTATCGCATTAAAAGTGGAAAAAAATAATCAAATGGTTCTATTTGTTTTTTAATATATATAAAACTGAGAAATATATTTATGGGTACAACGCAAATGTGCTCTATTTTTTAGGATTTGTTTTCTTTCCTTCTCTTGACAACATAACATGGATTTGCTTCGGAGTTTGTGTTGAAAAATGAAAATGGAGCATCGAGGGAAAAAATTAGCATTAACACATCAGTCTTGGTTAAGGACTTCCCTTGTCTGTTTCGAGTTTGTCTTCTTTACCCTTTATGTCACCAAAACCAAATAATGTGGTGGAAAACCCCTCATCGTTACTATATCTGACTTCTCCTAACCCTTCATCCACCATGCGTCACTCAAAAAGCCCTTGCTAC